TTCCATTTTGTTCTCTCCTCGCTTCTTTTTGAAGCCACCTTTGTGGTCCTTGACCCAAGCACAAAGGAATGATGTAAAAGCCAACTGGAGCGGTTCTCTGGTTTAAAAGATTATCGTGGCGATAGAAGAAGTTGAAAGAAGAAAAAGTCTGAAGAATTTTGCAGAAATTTGAATTTTGGCCTATTCTCCAAAAAAGCTCCTGCTACGTTTGAGTCCACTTTAAAGGTACCAGGAGAATCGCTTAGTGAAGGAGAGCTCATCTAAGCCATTTATAAGGCTGTACAACGTAAGATAAAAGAGTTACGAGTGTTTGAAAATCATAAAAACGGCAGCCATCTTGAAAAACCAACCTCAATCCTACATATAGGCTATCGCCTATATAATAGTAAGAATAATAAGAACAATATTTGTACAGTTATAAAATGAGAAACTAGCTAAAGAAATGAGAATAATGATAATGTTTTACTATTGAATAATGTGGTACTATTGCATATGGATTGGCCACAATATACACTGACCCATGTGGCTATCATGCGACTATCATTTGACTTATTGTGTAGAAAGAGATTACTAAAGAAGAACTGAAGGTCACCTGGTAGAGTGTATCTTGGGTAGAGTGTATCTTGGTCATCAATTGATTGAGAGATATTCATATATATGCTGGTAGTGAAATGTATATGGAAATATTGAAAGGTCAGTAACTTAAATAATGAGGGTATTATTCTCATACTCTAATAGAACCTGAAAAGATAAAGCTCCCAACACAGATGCATGCAGGTGTATGTTAGAAGATGGTGTCCATCAGAATTTTCAGCTGATCCAAAGTGATTCTAAAATAATGCTATGTAACTTTTTCCTTTAGTTTTTAGAGTTAAGTAGAGTTCCTGTTGATGCCATTTCTGTTGCAACAGTTAGCAATTGACATTTCACTATCATGCAGCCAGTTATTTTTCCTTTAAAAGTATTTGAGATCATTTCCAGCTCAGATATCACGTCTTGATATTAAGAATGAGTTGGAATGGAATCAAGTATCACTGTATGATGCTGATGGAGATGTCATTTATTACAAGTACACTATAATAAAATTGCTCTCGTAATAATTATACTGTTATTTTTAGAGACAATAGAGAACAATTGAAGGAGATCACAACTGAAGAGAGAGCAGAATTTAAAATGACAGAAAGCAAAAGGTCTGTTGCATAAGACCAATACTGCAGTAGCCAATAAGCTGTCTTGCATTCTGCATATGGCTTTATGTGTATGTTCATCTTTAGGTTATAGTGTTGCTGTTTATGTTATTGGGTCACTGTATGATGTTCCAGGAGACAAAGAGGATGAGGATTGAGTGCATTTAGTGGCAAAGTGTGTATATGTGGCTTGTAGGCTGTCTCCCCTCTTCAGCTATTGG